TTAAATCCTCCTTAACAAGAGATCTGTTTGTTTAAGGCGAGCTTTCGAAGCAACAGATTTTAGGCAGAAGTAGCACTTGTATACTTACAGCATTAACCCATCTAATCCAGGGCAGCTTATTTTGTTTTCCCTGTGCTTTGGTACATGTAGTCCTATCTACAGTATATTTAATCAATACATTGCATCTTTCCCTTACATTTACACTGCTGCAGCCAGCCTGACAATAAGAGTTTACTCCTCACAAATGATAATCCTGTTGAATTTAAAAATAATCTACTCAACAGAGCCCCAGTGTTCTACATGCTGCTTTTCTATTTATGAGAATACCCGCAATCCAACCCATTGGTGATGGCCTCCTGCTATCTCATTTTAGCAAATCCGTAGGATCTTTATCAGTTTAATTTGCCAGTGTATTGTTGAAGTGACTGTGCCAAACAAAATGCAGCCATAAAATTAGCTGCATGATGGAAAATATTTTTTTTTCTGTGCGCTGTCACCACACACGCTCATTAAACCGTTACTGTAACAAATTTTTTTTACTCGTACGCACACTGTAAAAATAATGATTGTTGTGTCTTGGTCTTGGCGGATGTTCCAGAGATAAATGTATCTGTTTCTGCTTTTTAACTGTCATTTTCTTTGATTTTACGTTTGCTTTACTTGTATTCAGCTTAGTGATTGCAGTTTTATAACATCTTGAATACAAATTAAGCATAATGTTAGGTTCAGGTTTGAGCTATTTACTTTTTTTAGGAGATATCTGTAAAAAATAGGTCAAGGCAACTGGACTTGCTGTATTTCTCAAAAGAAAGCGGATTGGATGACCAGTGAAACGTCTTCAAGAAAAATACAGTAAGTCCATTTGCCTTGACTTCTTTTTTACAGATATACCGTGACCTGGATGAATGAGAACCTTCACCGACATATTTTTTTTGGGAGACTATCGGAAGAAAGTATGATGAGCAGTGATTTTTTTTAGATGTTATGTTTATTCAAGCAAAGTAGATAGAAAAGGTAAATACAAATTACAGCGGATGGGTGCCACAAGTCCTAGCACTTCAGAGCGTTTAAAACAGAATTGTTTCAATGCAAATGCTCTGAAATTGCAAGTTAAACTGTGCATGCATGCATACTTGTAAATCTTTTTCATTATTCATATTACCCATATGCCATCTTTCCACCTCTGTAGGCAAGTCAAACTCTAATGAAACAGTTGGCTCACTTGTATGGAAGTAATACTCAAGGGGATATATTGTAACTCCTGAGTGCCATGTGCCATAGGCAGTATTTTTTTTTTGTATTTAATTGTGGAAGTGTTACGTTTTTGTGCCTTTTGTCAAACAGAACATGAAGGGAAATTCCCACTTAGAATAATGAGAAGGTAATAAACCTTCCGTTAATCTGGCCAAAATGAGATTGCAGGTGTTGGCTTTAGATTTACTTTAATTTCAGTAGAGATCATTTTAGTACTTTGGTAGTTAATATTCTAGTGACAAAAAAATAAAAAATCTTAAAGTAGTTTATCCCCAGGAAAGAGGCCTTTGAATTCTTCATGTAGTACTGAGCTTCAATGTACCTGTGTTTATCTTTAAATTGATCCCTGTAAAGCCCTGGGCCCATATTATGCATTGGTATACATTGGTCATGCGCTTCAGTCCAAGTCCATTAGGTCCCTCTACCCTCCCAGCACTAAGCCCTGTCTCCTGTATATTCAGCTCTCATGGGCTGGAATTTCAAATAGAGACTGGTATTAGATAGTTGGAACTTAAAGTGACCCTAATCTCCAGAGTTAAATCTTAAAATACATTCAAGTATGTGCTGACACTGTCCTTCCTTCTGGAGGGTGGCTACTTTTGTTCCCCATGGTCCCTGTGTGTGTTATAAAGTAGCCACAGCTCTAAGCTTGCTCCCATGATGGACAGCAATCTGATGTTTAGTTCACTCATTTGTTTTGAGATTGTAGTCCATCACAGGAGCGAGCTTGGAGTGGTGGCTACTTTACAACACACATGGGGACCACGGGTAACAAAAGTGGCCACCCTCCAGAAGGAAGGACAGAGTCCGCACCAATTCAGGTATGATTTGCGGATCTACAGCCGAGTGATACATAGATAAGCTAAATGTTTGTTTATAGTTAAGGTACTTTAAGATTTATCACCTGAGTTTAATGTCACTTTAAGCAGAAAACAAGACTCCATGAATAGTCTATGCCCCAAACTCAAGGAGGTTCCACAGGGCTATGAAGACTAACCCAAGTAATTGTAAGCAAACTTGTAGGCAAAAAAAAGGTGCCTGCACTACAGCATTGTTGCATTAGAAATGTTATTGGTATGTTCAGGTTCACTGAATGCTAATCTGGCATGAATGTTAAAATTTTAATGAAATATAATGTATAGTTTGTACAGTTAAAAGTAGCACTCCCCTCCAGAAATTAGGAACAGCTGGTACCTAGGCACACACAGACTTTTAAATTTATTGAAGACCTTCAAAAGCCTTGTATAGTTTGTGTTTCATAAAGATATTCAATATTTCTATACTATAAACCCCAGAGAAGTAGTACTTATATATTATAGACTATGAATATAAGCTATATAATTGTCACATTTTGGCAAAACACGGTTCTATTATATTCAATGTCACCTTGTATTTCAGCATTTTATTAATTAATATTCTAGAAAAGAGCAGCTAATCACTGATGGGGAACAGATTTTGCAACCAGATTATTGCCGTATAAAACCTAATATTCTTTTCTCGGTTTGCAATGCACAGCCCGTCCAAGATTTACCTTTTAACTCCTCCACTTTAAATGATTATCTCTAGTTTTAAGCCCAAGGCAATATGGTGCTTGCTGCTGATCAGCAATGCACTTAAATGGAAGGAAAAAAAGAAGTAATTGTTTTATAAGAAGTATCTTTCAAGTAAAGGTATGCCCACTCGTTTAACAGTATACCTCACAAAATACAATGACATTTGGAAAATGAAAGCTAAAACGTCTGAGGATCTGCCAAGATTGGAAATGCCAAAATGAACATTAATTTAACTCAAGTTAATAGTGAGGAAGTGAAGTTACTTGCTGGAGGGAAGGTAGGGATTAAGACTGAAAGAAGGGGAAGGTAAAAAGCATAAACATGTAAGCTTAAGTGACCCTGTCAGTTGCTTAAAAAAAAGCAAGCTGAAAGTCTCCAATGTTAAACTCACCTCCCCAGCATAGAAAAACAGAAAGAACAGAGCGCCACCTCAAATCATTTAACAAAGAGTAAAAAAAGAGAGTATATGTATTAACAAACATTAGTTGTATCATATTCATCAAAGGCCACACTGTCAATTACATCAGGAGACCACCACCCGGACTTAAATCAGAACTGCCTCTGGTCACATCACCGTCCACTGGTTGCAGTACACTAGATTGATGCGTTTCAGGGGCACGCCCCCTTCCTCAGAATCATCAGAATCACCTCTGCAGCAGCCTACCTATTTTTTGTTATAGCCTCTGTGAGACTCTTTAAGCAGCTGCAACAATCCGCTGCCGATGAGCTTGTGTCTATTTAAAACACCAGCTCTAATAAACACTGCATTTTTGTTAGTCTGCATATAACGTCTCTCACCTCTCAAGCTCTGATAAAGGGGGGTGGAGGTTTGACCCCTAAAAAAAAGTTTGGCTGTGCGTACGGTTTCCATCTGATTTTACGTTAGAACAAACTTGTATATGCAGGTTTGGCACTTCGATTTCAAATCCACTTCAGTCAGTCACAACCCAGAAACACCATGGAAGCGCTTGTGGTTTGCTAAAGCTGTCCACCCAGCATCCAAACAACCTCCACCTTATTGGGTGTTCATGAGTAAAACTACAGGGAATCCAGAGCCATCTCACTTCCTCAAGCATCCATAAGTAACATTTCTAGGAGTGTTAGATGCCATTACCCACAGCTACACGCTGTGGTTCCATCCTTCAACCTCTACACCACTGCTGAGACCTCCAGTGATAGGTGTTGGAGGATGGAACCACAGCACACAGAGGGGAACCCTGGCATCTAACACTCTTAAGAGTGGCTGCAGTGCTAGAACAAAGAGAGGGTAGGAGATATGGACTGCCTGAAAGGTGGGTATAAGAGCTTTGCTTTTGCAGGAGTAATATATGTAAATGATTTATAGAAAATAATTAAAATAGGCATTCTTTAAAAGCCAAGCTGCACCCTATGTGCCATTTTTCACAAAACCAGGCCTGCTTGATACCAATACAGGCAATATGGATATCTGTAGCACTGTACCTTTATTACTAACTAGACTAACTTAATATCATATTGTGAGTGAACAGACATTGCACAGGTACTTGGTGCACCATGCTACCAGGGAGATTGAGAACTCTTAACAGCTACCCACGCAATGTAGTCTGTGTATTTTATTTAAAACCTATTTTTCTCCCAAGGTACTTCATGAACAGCCTACATGTTCTTTCAGTTATATGTAACGTTTTTTCCTTATAGTTGCAGTCTCAAAACATTTAACATTTTGGTAATAAAAAAACAAAAACTTGACGTTTGGGTGCAAATTAACAACATTGGAAACCAACAGGGATATTCACAAAAGGGTGAAGAGTTAGGGGAAGACAGGAGAAGTGAACAATCTAGGACAACATAGCTGATTCTCCAATTCAGCTCACTTTCCAGTTCAGCTATGTTGTCCTAGATTGTTCACTTCGCCTGTCTTCTCCAAACACTTCACCCTTTTGTGAATATCCCTGTAAGTTTCAGGGCCTTCTTTAGTAATCAGTTGATCTCTCTGGTAGCTGAGTGATATAAGATGATCTTTATAATTCCCACTGATTTTCTTTGGTTGTTTAGCTGGAGAACTCTTTACAGTCTGTTTCAATATGTAGGGTTATGCATCCCAGTATACTGTATTTATGCTTTAACCTCATGGACTGAGAAATCTATTAACTGATACGACTTCCTTTTTAATTCTGTGCATCAGAAAATACCATTTTTTTTTTACCCTAACAGCTGGGAAGTTATGCGATTCCTTCTGTCTAACCTGCGGTGGTGGATTGAAGAATATGGTTTTGATGGTTTCAGATTTGATGGTGTTACCTCTATGCTTTACCACCACCATGGGATTGGTAAGTATACACCATTTAAGAGCTTGTTCACACCGTTGCTGTGTGTTAATCACACGGTCCCATGCGAATAATGCAAGGTACCGCGCAACTCACCTACAGCATGTTAACAGTGAACAGTGCCTTTGAACGGCACCCAAACACACCTCTGACTCGTACCACAGCGCACGGTACCACAGTACCATGCATTGCGATGGAAATAAGTAGTGCATGCACTGCTTTTTTTAGGTAGGCTGTGTAAATAGGAACACATATAGTGGGGTTTTCTCAAATTCAATAGCAAAAGTGGAAATCCACTTTAAAGTAGACTGCATAGACTATCTGACTCGGATACAGTAATTTGTTTAATTTTTGCCCTGTAATTGTTGTTTATCTGAATTGTGACTGCATGTCTAACCCCTGCATAAGGTCTATACCCAAATGCTGTATACTGATAAAGACAGAACATAGTCGCTATTGTGTGTTTATCAGTATGCAGTAGTTCGCCAAAGACCTTGCACAGTGGTTATACATGCAGCCATAGTCTGAGAGCCCCTGGGTTGGTGTATTGGATGGGGGATCAGCCAAGCATGTATGTTACTCTGTGGGGTATCATCTGCCAGGCACTTCCAGCAGATATTAGAAGCATTCCAAATGCTAACAAGCAGGGAAAGAGCTTACAGCATGAAATCTCAATCAAAATAGATTCAGCATTTAAAATGCACATTATGTTTATATTAGTTGTAATAATAATAATATTTTTTTTCATCCTAGGATGTGGATTCTCAGGTGACTACAATGAGTATTTTGGTTTGCAAGTGGATGAAGACTCGCTTGTGTACCTCATGCTGGCAAATCACATGGTTCATACCCTCTACCCAGAATGCATCACAATAGCTGAGGTAAGTTGAAGACTTGTCGTTACAAAACAATATAATGCAGTCTAATGGTTGCATCTGACTATAAAAAATATATAATACCAGCACATAACAAGCAGATAGATCTTAATTAATTTTAAAAAACGTGAAATTTTTTTAGGTTGTCCAACATGTCATTAAATGTAGTCTGAATGCAACATTCGAGACCTTGATGTATTAGGCTTGGTGCAGGCGGGACGTTTATATAGCTAATTGAATTTTAATTAAAACAGGACAACCTTCTATAATGTGCTGGAATGTTAAGTTATTATAGAGATACAGTCAAAAAGCCTCTGCTATTTAGAGCGAAGCAAGTGAATAAGAATGCCTCATTATTATTATTTTTTTTCCAAATCAGTTCAATCTATTTTAAAGAAAGATGTGCCCAAGATTATATTAAAAAAAAATATGGGTTTGTTCATTTAAATGATAAATATTAATGTTCTTACTCATTTCTGACTGTCTTATGTGCACAGCCCTATCACACAGCACAGTACTCTCTGGCAGGACACACCACATACAGTGCGTTCCGGTCCGATTCCGGCCGGAACGCACTGCCTCGCATTGCGGTCGGCTCACTATTTCGTGGGGCCCCGGCCGCAATGAGATCACCCGCACGGGATGGCAGGGCATATTGTGCCGGCAGTCCGGTGCAATGCTTGCAGCATTTTGATCGCACTGGACCGCACTGCAGACACAAAGTGCCTTGCGATCCCATGCGGGCGATCGCATTGTGGCTGGGGGCGTGGCTACGGTGCCATTCTCTTCAATGGCCTGCCACGCCCCCTCCAGCTCGGCAAAAAAGTGAACCGGCCACAATGCAGGGCAGTACGTTCCGGCCAGAATCCGACCGGATGCACTGCTTATGGTGTGAACTAACCCTTAAGCAACACATAAAGGTATTTTTCCTTCCCCCGGCCTGTGACTGAAAAGTGGAGGAAATGTAGCTTCATCTCTCTGCCACTCAACTCTCTCCTCCCATAAGCATGTTCCTTGTTGGCAATGGGGCACTGCAGCATACCTGATTGGCCCCTTGTGCTGCTTATCCCTCTTCCAGTTCTGCTTTACAGGAACCGCAACAGGCTGATACCAGTCAAGTTTAGGTGCCTACACTGCTTTTAGCCAAATACAGTTAATGATGTTGTGACAGATTGTACTGGCCACGGGGTGAGGTAATTGTTGGCTACTATGTTAGCAATAGGTTGAAACAGGCGGACAGTTACAAAATGGGTTAACTCACCTAAACGGGGTGGACGGAAGGTTTTAAAAGGAGATGCAGCAGATAGGCCACTATAGAGAGGGAGAGAGACCGAGACCTCCCAAGCTGCTGCATTGAGGTATACTGAGACCTGAGAGAATGTAGTGTATGTTTGGCAGGTGTTTAAAAGCTTAGTTTGGCACCTTTATTTAGTGAGGGTGAAACTGTTTTCTATGTTTAGGTAGATCTCTGACAGAGGTAGGCTTTTTCTTTGTGTTTTTTTTTGTTACTAGCTACTAGTTACTAGCTGGCTTAAGAAGACTCAGTGCTGTTTGTGAAATAGTTGTTACTAACTGAGTACAATAAACTTCCTTGCTAAGGACTTTTGGAATCTAGCCTCTACAAGTTTATTGGCTTACTGACTGCATTGTGGCACAGTGTTACCCAGGAACAGACACACACAGATGTATTAATGAATAAGAGCTTCTTTAATTTATGTTCTTTATATCTGCCTGAAGTTCAGTTATTATTAGCCCTTCTTTCTGTGTCAGACTGTGTTGAGCACCTTTTTAGTTAATGTTGAGATAACAGGACATATCACCTAAACAATGTCTATGCAGGCCATCTGAGCAATCAGATTGATTTGCACTGAGAAAGAAAAAGAACTGTGTAGCAATTCTAACTAGGAAACACATCTAGGATACTCAGACTGGACTGTCTTATGTGCATTTATGTTTACCTATAGAACTATAAATAGAGACACTTTTCAAAACTGAGTACACATTTGCGAGATATTTTCACTAAACGTACCATTAAAAAAAATTAAAATCAGTGACAATGGATTCTCTTTAAAGGATTACTAAAGGCAGGTCATTTCTTACCTTAATACATTCTCTGCATGAAGGTAAAAAATACCCAGCACTTTTCTGTGTCCCCCGTCCCCCCACACTTACCTGTCAGCGCCGTTTGTCAGCGTCGCTGGTCCCCGAAGTGATCCTCCGTTCCCGAACTTCCTGGTTGCGGGGGAGGAAATTGAGGGCAGAGAAGCCATAAGCTCCTTCTGCCATCAATCAACCTGTTAGGCGCAAAGAAGGGGCATGGCCTGCTGCATGGCTGTGTGTGTCTGTGGATGCACGCAGCCACTTGCGGACACGGCCAGTACAAACAAGCGCGGGTGCCTCTATAGCCGTGAAGGCCCCCGTGCAGGGGGCAGGGAGAGAGCGATGCTGGGACCTATTAGAAAACAAAGGAACTGAACATTTTTACTGAAAAACAACAAAGGATCTGTACAAGTATTTATAAAAATAGAAAAACAAATGAAGCTTTAATATCACTTTAAATCTACATTGATGCGATGCCGTACTGCCAGGTTACTATTTATTTTTTTGTTCCTTTTGCAGTTTCAGAAGATTAAACAGTAGGTAAATAAGAAAGTGAATTGATTTTATTTTACTATTATTTAGGCGGATAGCTGCATAATAAATGCATTTTCCAGTTGTGTCCTTGATAAACAGCAGTCTTGGAAAGACAAAAAGCATATATCTGAACATATTGTTTGGATTGTACACTATCAAATATAACATTTTAATTTGATCATGCTGCGTAAGATACTATATAATGTCTGAAATCAATGGTCATTGAAATAACCTTGTTTCCTACTGTTAAGGCTTTGCGGAAGATGGAGAAAAAAATTTGGAAAGCATCTTGATGTTCTTGCTGTGCAAGCAGACAATATTAATTTTCCTAAAAGTAGTCTTTTGGGGGAAATTATCTATCAGGATTTGCTAGCTGTTAAATTCATATGCCAAGCTGCAAACAGGAAGCAATCAGAGAATTGATGAGTAATGACTCTGTTATGAGATTATTGCGAAGCACACAAAACTGGATAAGTTGCTAGGAATGTTTATGTTGAAATATAAGAAACATGTCCTATGTATCAATAAAAAAATATATAATAAACCTTTGCAAGCAAGCCCTTTATTTGACAGCAGGACACAGTTATTCATGTGATAAAGATCTGTAAATTGTATATATAATCCCCCAATCCAGATGTGCAAAGCTTCATACCCAAAAAGACTGGAGGCTATAATTGCTGCCAAAGGTGCTTTAACAAAGTACTGGGTAAAGGGTCTGAATACTTAAGTACCTGTGATATTTCAGTTTTTTCCTTTTCATAAATTCACAGACATTTCTAAAATTTTGTTTTCACTTTGTCATTATGGGGTACTGAGTGTAGATTGATGAGAAAAACAAATTAAACAACTGCAGTATCAGGCTGCAACATAACAAAATGTAAAAAAGTGAAGGGGGGGTCTGAATACTTTCTGCTGCATTGTGCTTATATTTTATTTGGGTCAAGTAGCCATAGCACAGTAGTAATTTAGGAGCTCTCAAAGCATGATTGTGTGGCCTATTTGAGGTTGTGAGCTGCTGGTTTCCACTTAAAACACCACTGGGTGGTCACTTCTGAATCATGTAGCTTAACTTTAAAAATGAACTGCAGGCAGATCATAACATTTCACCAAGACCATTTAGTATCGTTCAATCTGGATTTCTGAAAACAGTCCTTCTGCTCTAAAACACTTACTGGAGTTTTCAGAATGCATGACTGTTAGAATCATCTTTTTTAGAGACAACTGAAATCTTCTTTTCATGCAATAATAGCGATGCACCGATGAAACATATCGGCCGAAAATTGCACTTTTTGCATAATGCCGATATGCATAATAGCGGTGCATCCAGTCTTTCTCCTCCCCGCTGGGCGCTGCTGTGTGTCCCAGCGGGGAGGAGAGAAACTGTCACAGGCAGCCAAGCGCTGCGGGAGTAGAGCACTGTGAGCGGCCAGCGTCTCTCCTCCCACACCGCTCAATCTCCTGTCGCAGATCGGCGAGACAGCCAGTGCTGTCACAGCAGGCTGAGCTCTCCTCCCCGCACCAATCGCTCAGCCTCCTGTGACAGCTGTCAGGAAGGAGAGTGATTACAAACACTCAGTGATCTGTGATCGCTGAGTGTTTTTGTAAATAATTGAGGACAGTGTATGGTTATTTGGCCCGACATATTTTTTTTTTATTTCGGTTTTGTTTTGGTTTTGAAATTTTCATTTTGGTGCACTTCTAGTTAACCCCTATGTGTTTTTATGCAGTTTAATTACATAGGGTTGAATTCATGGGCATTCAGTGCTTTTGTTAAAACCCAGTGCATCACATTAACAAAGCATAAACATCCATGTTTGTTGTTAAGCAAAAAAACATGGATATAGATAAAATAGATGGATGGACACCACAGTGGTGTACTGGTTAGCATGTCTACCTTGCAGCACTGGGGGTCCAAGCCAGATCACTATCTGCATGGAGTTTGCAGGTTCTCCCTGTGGTTGGGTGGGTTTCCTCTGGGTCCACCGGCTTCCTCCCACACTCCAAAGACATGCGGGAAGGTTAATTGGCTCCTGTCTACAGTGGCCCTTGTATGTATGTATGTGAGATAGGGACCTTAGATTGTAAGCTCCTTTAGGACAGGGACTGATGTGAATGTAAAAAGCTGTGTAAATTGTCGGCACTATATAAATGCCTGTAATAAATGAAATAAAACAATTGGATCTATACTCTACTAAACTCCATTTTACATCCAATGCGAAGTACTTAAACAGTTTTTACCATGTTTTCATGTGTTACAGTGGGAAAGTCAGAAAATATAAGTCAGTAACTTTTGCTTTGTTGCTGATTTTTTAAATTTTATTTCCTAGCTTACCTCTTTAACCATTTCTAAATTTCTAATAAAAAGTATTGTGTTATAATTCATCAATTTTTGTGTTTTTATTCAGGATGTATCTGGGATGCCAGCACTTTGCAGCCCTACGTTCCAGGGAGGCTGCGGGTTTGACTATCGACTAGCAATGGCAGTACCTGATAAATGGATCCAGGTAAGCTCTTCACATAGCAGTTTATAAACGTGTATATCAATGCTAGCCAATATCTTTTACTGTATAGGCAGTCACTGGGCTTTTTGTTTTATTGCAGATTCTGAAAGAGAGGAAGGATGAGGATTGGAATATGGGAGATATTGTACATACACTCACTAACAGGAGATACAGCGAAAAGTGCATAGCCTATGCTGAAAGCCATGACCAAGTAATACATATTCTTTTTAAAATGTGAAGAAAAAATAATTCATATTTTGAAATTACAGGTGCAGGATTGACAGCCAGGGCCGGTGCAAGGATTTTTGCCAAGTCAGGCGAAGGTACATTTTGCCCCCCCCCGACCATGAAAAACATTGACAACGTTTTCTATTGTCGATTGGTTGCAGCTCTATATTATTGCTGGGATTTGTAGTCCTCTATAGCTGGTGGTATTCTCCATTGCGCTGTATAATGATTATACTGCGCAATGCAGATTACCACTGACCAGTTATAGAGGAACTACAAATCCCAGCAATAATACATTATACAGCGCAATGGAGTATAACAATACAATATACAATGCACAATACAATACACTTTACACAATATATTATACAATGCACAATACAATACTGTATTGTATTGTATATTGTATTGTCAATACACAATACAATATACTGTATATACAATGCACAATACAATACAAAATAATACAATACAATGCAGCATAACACGTGCACTTTGTCTTTGTTACATTACATACCGCTCCCACTTCAGCCAGCTCCCGATCCCGATTCCCGATACGAGTCCGACCAAGGGTCACCAAGAGAGGGGGAAATCGCCTCCTCGCTCGGTTCCAACTTCCTTCCAAATGTGTGCACCAGCCACCGGGCAGCTCCCGAGTCACTCAACAGGTCGCCGTCGCCTCCAGGATGCCGCCACACTGCCTGCTGGTCCGGTCCGTCCGTTGCTCCGCCTCCTGCAGCCCTCGCTTCAGTCCTTCACATGCGACAGAGCGGCCAGGGGAACCAGGGGCGGGGCTCACTGACGTAGCCAAGGAAGGACGAGACACTCAGTGAGACTGTCACTGAGTCTGAGACGTGAAACTGCACAGGTCAGCGCCGCTGCGGCAGGCGGCCGGGGACTCGTCCTTCAGATGCAGCCCGCCCGCAGCGGCAGCCCACACACTGAGTCTCGTATCGATCGGACGACTGTCACATTTCCGCCCTGTTTCCTGGCGCCGTAAGGCAAGTGCCCAACTTGCCTTGCGCTAGCGCCGGCCCTGTTGACAGCACACATGGTGTAAAATCTTAAAGGAGAACTATGAGGTGAGTGCTTTTCACTCACCTCCTAGTTCTAGCCGACCTGTGACAATGAGACTGTCACAGGTTGTCTCAGTAGATCGGGAAGTGAACGAACACATACCGCCGTTCGCTCACCTCTCGATCCTGTCACAGCTCTCTGCCGTGACAGGGGAGGTGCTGGGTTCCCCGCTCCGATCCGCCAGCGCTGACTGGCGGAACGGATGGGGAGGGGGCGGGTATTGCTGGCTCTGCCTCTAGATAGGCAGAGCCAGCTGTCACTCACGCAGCTGGGCGGATCCAGACATAATTGTCGGGATCCGCTTCAGCTGCGGTGCCTCAGTATACCGCGAGCAGTAGCTCACGGTATACTGTGGCGTCTCAGTAAACAGGGACCAGTAGCTCGCGGTATACTGAGCTTAGGGTGACGGGAGGACGCTAGTTTGTGTCCTCCCGTTACCCTAGGGAGAACTATGGGGTAAAGCCTTAACCCCATAGTTCTCCTTTAAGGGCTTGTATCAATGATTGAATACAGCACCCTTTTAGGTACATTTTTTTCTGCAGTTGAGCTCAGTTTTATATCATTCTGAGTTCCTTCACGGATGCATTTGCAGTTCACCTGCTATAATCTGCATCAACTGATTTCAAGTACTTTTGCATTCCTATTGAATTGTGAGGAGAGATAAAAGTAGTTGAAGCAAGCAAAAACTCATGTACGCAGGCCCTCATTTCTGAGGGGAAACAATTTATTAAAGTGTAAAGGTCATCAGCACCTCCTGCTCCATCTTTCATGCAGCTTAAATAGAGTTAAGATGACAACTACCAGTACAGCTAGATGTCTTCATTGCAGCAAGTCTTTTGATCTTATGTGCATATTTACTATAATACTTTTATTAACCCGCCTCTTTTGTTTTCACCAAGATGGCATAGGTGTCCGTCTGCTCTTTCCTGTTCCTCCATTTGATATTCCCAGTAAAGTTCTCATTATGCCTAGCGCTGAACAAGGGTGCTACTCCTCTATTCCAACCTACTTCACACTTGCTGCTTATTTGTTCTGGATCCGTGACCCTAAAAAGTGCTAAACCCAGACAGCCAGGCAACGAGCTAGGGAACATTTAAACTACTCTTGCAGTGGGGATCCCCCACACTTCAAGGGTTAAACGCTTGTTTTTGCCTAGGTTACCCATATATAGCAATTTTACTTTCCTTATCCCTCACTCCTGGAGGCTTCCTCCTCTCTGTGCAGCCGGTCCCAGAAGTCGCTTCACTTCAGAGCTTTGTCCATCGGTTGCACCTTGAAGTACAATGTAGGAGCAGCACTGCTGCTTTGTAAGTGTGGACATCGGGGTGCCTGCCCACAACTTAGAGCCTCAGAGGGAAGAGGAGAGCGCTGGCTGCCAGGGGAGTAAGGGCTAGTTCACACCAGATGCAGCTGTGATGCAGTTCGTTTAGTTTGGCAGCTGCCTCAAACAAGCATCACAATGCTTTACTATGGGATTTCTGCTGCTTTGTTCACACCAGTGCAGTCCATTCCGATGCAGTCAGACACAAATACTGCTTGCCCTATTTTAGCTGCTCGGATCACATCACAAACGCATGCAACGCAAAGGAACACATCCAAAATGAAAAAAGAAAAAGCAGAATTGGAAGTACTTTGACAGGAAGAAGGAAGTGACATAATACGTCTAATTTACATTTTGAAAAAAAAACAACGATGTAAAAATTGCTCTAAAACGCAACAAATCACACTGCAGCTGTGCAGACGCACGCACTTGTGATGCAGTTCTGGTGTGAACTAGCCCTGAGTGATAAGGTAAGTAAAGCTGTTTTTTAATGTTCCCCTAGACAGAAAAGGGGAAATGTAGCCCTTGCAGCACAGGGGGAACTCCACTGCAGGGGTTGTTTTTACTTCTATGTAAGAGAATAGTAGGCAGTGCTATGAAAATTAGGATTTTTATTGCTGACTTGAGAAACAAATGGGATGTTGATAGGCAGAATGGCCATACCTCTTTCATTTATCTTTGCCTGAAACTATCTCTTTCCTTCCATGTCAATCAAATGTCCTTGTTGTACAAATTGCCTATGTGGGACGGTCAATCCTAAAGAAGTTGTACATTTTATGTTTCTAATCCGATTTATATTTAACCGGCCGTTGGCTGCATTCCAGATACATAGCTCATTCAATATAGTTTCTGTATTAAATGCGTTTCCACCCCTGTCTGGAACTCACTGGCAATTGTCCAAGTATTAATATTGAACATTGTTCCTCTTCTGTTTCCTGGATTTTTTTTTTTTTTTGGTGCTGCTCTAATTACAGGAGCCTGTGGCTTTGAGTCAATGACAGTGTGCATATTATAGAGCTAAAGCTTTTATAATTATAAAACAGCATAATGAGCCATTTAAGCTTCATACATCCCACCCCTACTGAATACAAAATAACTGACAGAAAGTTGTATGTGATTTTATGTCAGATTTGCACATCACATTCATTTTTAAAAAGGAAATGAGATGAATATTTAAAGTTTAGTTGGTTTAAAGGAGAAATGCCTTCTCAGTAATATAGACAAGCATCAGGAGTTTACATATACTGCAGCGCTTTATGGCAAAGAAGGTTTATGAAATAAAACCTGTTACTGGCTTTGCAAGATGCTAAATGTTTTGAATCAGTTTATGCCTCAAAGAAGTCATAATTCCTTGTTTTTATACTTAATATTTGTGATGTGTGTTGGCTTGATGTAACTCAAGTTCACCCAAGCCCATGCAAAGCCTTCAGTGACACATCCCTCTCCCGTCCCAATCAGGTATATATTGTATTGTGTATCTGGAGTTCTTGATATATTACACATACACTTTTAATCTAAAAAAAGGCATGAAGGACTTCAACAGTCCTTTATGCAGCCTTTATTTAACTTAAAAGTGTTAATATTTACTGCTGTCTTTGTGCATGCTCTCTCTTTTTGTCCTGATGACCACTGTCACTGAAACCTTGAGGGGAATTCAAAATGTATAGAGTTGTCACCAGGACAAGAGGTGAAGGTAAATCTTGTAAGGGTTGGCGGGTAGGGGGGCGCAGATTTGTCTTAGATGTAAGAATTTCACTCACACTTTCTATTTGAGTCTCCAGGACAGGATGTGCAGGGAAATGGGACATACAGCACAGAATTAACGAACATGTTTTGACCCTTCCCTATTCTAAAACTAGAAATAACGTTTTGGCTATACATACATTTTAACATGACTTTTTGCTCCAGATACACAAACTACTGGCAGTATTGAGTGGAAATCAATTAGCCTGACCACCCATAAGAGACCCAAACAAACAAACATAGGTAGAACAAATAAGCTAATTCTAAACACGCCTGCCCTTCTTTTTTTTTTTTGCAACAATTTGTGTAGATTAAAAGAGAACTATGGGGTAACCTTTTCATCCAATAGTTCTCTTTAGGGTCACGGGAGGACATATACTAACCTCCTCCCGTGACCCAAAGCTCAGTATATAGCGGGCTAGTGGCCGCTATGTGTTCGCTCACTGCCCGATCAATAGAGCCGACGTGTAACAGTTTAAATGTCATACGTCAGATCTAACTATGAGGATGAATGTAAATCACTCACCTCATAGTTCACCTTTAAGGCTACTTTCAGATATCTCTGTTGGTTTGGATATACTGTGCTGATCAAATTTTATAGCTAACCAGAGCTCCGCTGTCTGTCTTCTGAGGTGTGATAACACCTATGCTATGATAGTTAGGGATTTTGGCCACGTTTCAAAGAAAATGTGTAGTATCAGTGAACGCAGGGTTTCTGACTGTAATATCATCTTATCCAAGAAGCTTTAGTCCAAAGTGCATGAAACAGGAGGGAGACAACTACTCAATTTGTGTATAAACTATATAAACTGTTCTGTATGCACTCCCCTCCACAAGGATCAGTAAAGCAAACACAGTTTTTGAATCTTCAGTGCCTTTTAAATGGATTGTGGTAAATGGATGTGATATTTATCTACCAAGTCCCTCACAAAGGCATCTTTGAGTGCTTTGCAGTTTTTCTAGTGCAATAAATTTAAAATGTTATGGGTATATCCTCTGAAACAGTTTTACCTTAATCTGTCTGGCTGAAGCTGTTCACTCCTAAACGTGAAATACAAGTTTGTAAGCCAGTTTCTGGTCAAGATTGTGCAGGGACAACCAGTACAGCTAAAAAAAACTGATATATAACTATAGGCTAGCTTCTTCTTTCATACATGTGCTTTTGGTGGTGCTGGGACTCGTCATGCTTTTCCATGTCATTACCGGTCTGTTTAAACCACTGACTTTTAGATTAAATAGAAATTTGGTGGCATTTGTTTCAGCTTAAAATGTGCAGCTCCAATATTCCAGTGATGAAAACAACCATAGGCAAAACCTGTCATCTTTTATCCTATGTGAAATTTCTGCCTGTGAATGGCCTCTGTCCAATGATGTAACTTTTTATACAGACAACAATACACCTAAACAGAGTGTAGCTGAGAAAAGAAGCAATGAAGACCAGCAGCACACCAACATATCTGGTTTAGTAAAAGCTTTAAGGAACTGGGCAACCTACAACACAGCTCTCTACCTAGGAACTCCTAATCTGAACCTTTTCCCCTACAGATGAGATCTCCACGATTAAGCTTATATGTGGGTGAAACTCATCAGAATATGAGTTTCAAGATGAAGTTCTTTGTTGTATGCTGTTTAATTCACTAAAGATTTTACTACGCTGCCAATTGTAGGCCTGCTGCCAATTGTTGGCGTGTGCCAATCATCTTTGCTGTTTGTGGCTCTCCTTGGAGCCATGACAAGCTCCTTTTGGTGTGAGCACTCAACAGCCTAGTGAGCAAGTTGATTTTAGGACTTGGTAGTACCATTTAGTTTCTCTGGTTGTAGTTGAGAGTGGTTAACAAAACTTCAGTACAATATAGAGTAGCTGTATATCACACAGTTATATTCAACATTTGTTATAGACAGTAATTTAAACCGTTCATTGTTTTTCTAACTAGGCACTGGTTGGTGATAAGACCCTGGCGTTTTGGCTGATGGATGCTGAAATGTACACCAATATGAGTGTCGCGTCTCCTTTAACAGCTGTGATCGATCGTGGAATTCAGCTCCATAAGATGATCCGTCTGATCACACATGCTCTCGGAGGTGAAGGATATCTTAATTTCATTGGTAGGTGCGATAATGCTCAAACATACTGCTTTGATTACACCTCTGCTTGCCTGAGGTGTATTCTTGTATCTCATCTTGTAGTCAAATAAACTGTTTCCTATTAGCTTAAGATTTATGACAATTGCTCTTAAAGCAGACCCTTCTGTCTGATAGACCTAGACTATTCAGAGGAAGTCATCTTACACTTGCCTCTCCCAGAGCCCATGCCTGAAATAATCACTCTCTGCAAAAGCTAAGACACATGTAGATACTTTAGCATCTAGCACACTTCTGGATGAATCGGATGCTTGGTTCCTACTGCACAATGTGGTTCCACCTGCCGGCTGCTATGTTACTACTGTGTCCTGTACTGACATTGGAACCAGCGGGTTGAACCATAGATTAGATTATAGTAGTGATAGTATTTAAAATCTTTTTAATGGTTATGCATAAGCTTTCTTTATTAGACAGTGCACGTCCATGATTAAAAAAATTTGATATCAACCTATATTGGCAATATAAAAGGCTATGTTAGCTGTATAAAATGGTGTGTTTATGACATATACATAGGACTGGAAATTTTCGAGGTCTAAAGTATGTGGACTGGGGGTGTTTCGTGGTCTGAAGTATATGGACTGGTGCTGTTTCAATGACTGAAGTGAATGGATTAGGGTTGTTTCGAGGTCTGAAGTGTATGAATTGGGACTGATCTGAGGTGTGAAGTGCATGCATGCATTAGGTTAATCTGAGGTCTGAAGTGTATGAATTGGGGCTTTTTCCAAGGTCTGAAGTGTATGAATTGGGACTGATCTGAGGTCTGAAGTGCATGCATGCATTGGGTTGATCTGAGGTCTGTAGGTGCAGAAATTGGGGCTGATCTTCTCAGTACATATACAGTATACCGTGTTTCCCCGAAAATAAGACACTGTCTTATATTTTTCTGGGCTCAAAAAAACACACTAGGTCTTATTTTCGGGGTAGGTCTTATATTTTAGCAATTCCCAAAAATAGTACTAGGTCTTATTTTCAGGGTAGGTCTTATTTTCGGGGAAACAGGGTATATGTTTTTTGTGTGCACCAGTCAATCAATGTTTGCACTCATAGTTGTGCTAATCACTTGCCATTACCAGTACAACTGAGTACAAAAATTGAAAACTAAGACTGTGGCACGCTGTTGTTTATTGGCATGCTGGTTGTCTAATGCTTGTAAAATTACTCTTGCTGTGAAAAAGGTTGCTGACCCCTGATGTAGGCAACTGACAGTTGTAATAATTATTGTGGGTGGCAAAAAGAGTTTCTTATTAAATACTGTCAAAATATGAGATCCAGTAGTGTTTGATTATGTTGCTAGTTTTTTATGCAAATTGTAACCTTGAAATGTAAGACACATGTACCCAACATTATTGAAGTTGTTTTATTGCTGATACTGAGCCTATAGCCGAAGGCATTTTCAGCTGTACTGACTGCTAATTTCATCTGTTTTCTTCAGCTAGATTTGCATTGTACGCAGGTTAAACAGTGTTCATGTTTGCTTTTTTAAAGTTAACTGCACAATTAGTAAAAAAAAACAAAAGGGCAGCTACTACAGGTACCTTAATTGTACCTGGTATAAACCTATTGTAACCCCCTGCATAGCAACACTCAAGACTGGGAGTAGCAGGAGGAGTAGCATTAATAGCCAACCTGCATTGCACATGTGATGGCAAGGAACATGTTGATAGGTGCAAAGAGCAGAATGAAGAATGAATAGAAGGCCGAGATGCTACTGCCCCTTCACAGTCGAATCACAGGCTGGGGGGATGACCTAGCAGTGTAAAATCAGGACACCGACCTTTATGTACAGTCTTGCAGGGCTGTGAGCACCTCAGAAATAGATGAACACAAATCATTTGGCAGGTAAAACAGCTGCCATATGTGTATTTTATCTGTGTATGTAACAGTTTGCCTGGATTTGGGATTTACAGTGGAACTGGTTGTTGTTTTTCAGAAATTGCATACAACTTATTGTTTGTATTTAATTCTCATTAAAACTCTCAAGACTGCATATTGATGAATACCATTTTATTTAATGGAATCCAAAACCCTTGTCACTGTGTACCGAGAAAAGAAAAAGTGTTTAGTAAATAGTTCACAAGAAAAGTAATGAATTCTTAAACATCAAGTGTCCTACCTTGAGAAATTACACTAATTAGACTTGAAAGTTTATTCCGGTTTACCGGAGTTCTTCTTTAAATGACAAATCTCCTATACTGTGTATTTCAGTGTTATAATCTCTTTGACAGAAGGAGATTCTAGCTGGAGTTTGCAACCAGTAAGAGTCATATGTGCTACTTTCCTGGCTTAATTTCTGCTTACGGGTAATAGTGTAAGCAATGTTTGCCCTCTTGGTAGAAGTCAATTCTGTTACAAGTAACAAAGATGAATCACCTATTTTAATCCTGTTTTCTGCTCAGGAGACTTTGATTTTAAGAAATATGATTAGATAGAACCAGACAGCGAGATCACTGGGGTGTAGTATTTAGGTCCCTAAAGGTAAAAACATAAGCTGTTTTGCTAAGAAACATGAAAAATCTTTAAAATATGATGCAAGAGCACTTTCTGAAATGTAAACATCGTTTTTATGATTTTTGTTTTTTACTTTAAACATATTGTAAATGATATTATTTAAACTTTGTATAGAAGGGTCACGTCTACATTGCATGGATATGTAAAGGATACAAAGTATTGTTCACCCAGAATTTCTCCATTTTAACTGTCTGGATGTGCCACAGTTTGATCACAATTGCATCCAATGATCTCCTCAGGTCATCAAGAGCTTCGGACCGGTACCATCATTCATAATATAAATTTATTTATAATAACTCTTACTATTTTTTTTTTTTTATTAAAAGTAAATTGAACACCTGCAAGGTTTTGAAATGTTTTGCTCCTTTATTAAGCACGTCCAGTGTGTTACACATTGGAACAAAATGCTTTCTTAAACTCACAGGCCACTCCAAACAACCAGTCTAAAGGTAATTAAAAAAAAAAGAGAGAGAACTATGGTGTAACTTTTTATATCCCCTAGTTCTCTTTAGGGTCACGGGGGGACATATACTAACCTCCTCCCGTGACCCAAAGCTCAGTTTTATAGCGGGCTATTGCCCGCTCTATACTGAGAGCGCCCCAGCCGGGATGGATCCTGACAATACTGTTGAGATCCACACAGCTGACTGATTGACGGCTGGCTCTGCCTGTCTAGAGGCAGAGCCAGTTGTACCTACTGGCACTTACCATTTTGATTTACCCCTAAGTTCTGCTTCAAAGTGCAGCTTTTTTTTTTTTTTTTACGTTTTGGAGTGAAGATGGATTAGAACTCCTGTCAGGTCGTTATTGCCATCTCCGTCCCTCTTTGGGTGATCCACTCTTTCTCCTGGTGACCGTTATCAAAGTGAAAGCAAATCCCACATTGTCTGTTATCATGAGAACAGGGAAATATGGGAAATCTTCCAATGGTGACTGCTGACACCATCTTTCTCTTTTTTTGGAGGGTTTTCCTCTCAAATCCTCAATTTCTTTTGTGGCTATCAGACAGGAAGTGAAAGAAAATATCCCCAATGGGACACATCTCTGTGTCCAAGTAATCTCTAGTAATGGTTATCCATGTATATTCTCAAAAAAATGTGCTGTGAAGTGTATTTCCAGCCATAATGTTTTGAATGGCTTAGAGAAGGGTTACACCCCCATCCAGTTTTTATTTCTATCTGAGATTTGGTTAGAGATTTCCCATACTTCTGTCACAGTGAGAGAAGTTTTCCCAGACAAGAAGTGAGAGAAAATCTGCAACAGGGACACAGACAGCTATATAAAGTTGACAGGGGTTATAGCCTTCCCCACTCAATACAAAACAACAACAGCAACAACAACAACAACACACACATTTTGGCTGGGCATAAAAATACAACATGACATTGAGAAAAGAAAAAAAAACACTTCAATCTTTGTGTTTATTCAGAACACACAGATGTTCTAGAATGTAACAGAATGTAATATCTTTTTATTTTCTGGGTCCATCTAAAAGTGAAACACAGATCCTATTGAGAAACAACATACAGAAATAACTGTGTGCTCCAAAGATGCATGACACCAACCTACACAGCATGGGGTACACTGATCAACCAAGGGACAGCTATATAGGAAAGTAAACCATTTGTTGAATGTCACATCTATTATCGCTGCATTAAAAATAGCATTTCTCTTGGAGTTTCCTTTTATGTTATACTTGGTCCTTTATATGTTCTTCTTAGATCCCTGTGCTTGCAATCCCTCTGCTGTGCTTCCTTGATTCTGCTCTCCTTCTGTTGCCTCTGCTAAGACCTCCCACACTTCAGATCCAATTATAGCCCGCAAACACTCACAGTAGATGTTCACATCTCTTCCAAACAGCAATGCTTCTTGCTGCAATAGTAAGGAGAAATCGCTAGCTGAGGAATCTTCAAAAACAGTCTCTTCTGAGAGTGTAAAGTTCATGGCACTCTAGTTCTTCCTATGGATCCTTCTGTCACTATAGGAGGAACCACTGAGTACAGCCGGGGGGACTAGGACTCCAACATTCCTGGGAATGTTTTTGAATATTCTTTTTGTTTCCTCACTACTGCATTGATTAATTTATTATGAAGTTGCAAAGTTTGTTAGCTTTTTTTTTTTACTTCAACAATGTTTCTGACACATCCTCTAGTACCCCCTCAAACAACCGTATGTAACCCTGATTAGCCTGTCTAGTTAACAACTGCCACCAGTGATTCATCCCAGGGACCTCACTCTGGGCACATATTTTCAACCTCACCCTCAGAAACTCTTATGAAAACCAGGTGCACACATAATCTTCAACTTGGCCATCTTCATCCTGCCAATGGCTCTGAATATCCTCCACCATTCTTTTTTTCTCTGCTCAGATCCAAGCCAGCATCCTGACACACTGTTTACACGGTCTTATCAATATAATATACTTATATGCAAATATATCTGCTCTGAATAACTTTCCCTAGAATGGTTAAAATCATCTGCAATGGAACTTTTTATTTTTGCTATTCATTAGCACCCCATTGTTTTTAAATTCATTAACTGTTCTCATTGTGTTTGTCATTTTATAGTTGCATAAGAAACAATTTAAAATTAATTACAGAAAACCAAATCTCAGTAGTATGTCTCTATACTTACCTTCATATTATCCATGCTTCACATGTTGCTGTTTACAGAGGGATCCTGAGGATAAAAGCTTTCAGATTTTTTTTCCCTGCGGAAGTTGTTAATTATCTTTTGCATTGTTTGCCATCTTTTGTTTCTTGCATCTGTACATGGAGTATGATTAAACTTGAAGTTTTCCAGTCCAGGGACATGATAAAAGAAAGTTTTAATATTCTGTAAAGACCTCATATTGTATACCAATAGGGTACCTCTGGAAGGGTCTTTCTTTAGAATATTATGTCATGACCTTTCTATGTTCTGTGTAATGATACATTCAGTAGTGAAAAGGCAAAAAAAATATCAAAATGATGCCTTTGTAAACATACCTAGAGCCACTTAAAAGTCATATACGTGTCAGTAGTATGCCATAGTGTCCATCTCCAGCTGCTTGCATGTCATTTTAGACTTCCTACAAAGCACATGGGGAGCCCCAGAGCCTGGGAAACTTTGAAATGCAATTATGACCAGTTCCTGTGATTGAGAGCCTAGCATTTTCCTGTCCTGTGCTTCACTATTGGCCTATCACTGTGATGGATGGCCTCACAGGCCATTAGTGATGTGTGAGGGAGCAGAACCAGACTCGGGAGACATAGAAGCTGATAAAAATTTGCACAGTAGGTGACCTGGATTTTAGGACTTTCAAAACACTTATTAGTAAAGCTGAACTTAAGGGCAGTGATCTAGATATAAACATTGTGGTATACCAACTTGCTCACTTCAGGAAAACATTATTGGCAAATAAAAAAGTTGAAAGTGCAAGGTTTTAAAGCATTGAGACCATTTTGTGAATGTACCTGAAGAAGGAACCTTACGGGTTTTTTTTTTTGGTTTTTTTTGGGGGGGGGGGGTTTGAGTGCTAAACAATGAGACATCTGGCCTTTTCCAGGAGTTTCAGAACTACCTTAATCTTCTACACCCCTGATTTGGAACATTGGTATCTGCTTGTCCCTTAGTAAACACTTGCCACTTTACTACCTGGAAACAATCATGAGAATCTTAACACTTAGACCCTAAGTTTGGGCAAACATTTTAAATTGCTGTGTATAAACCTGTTACACAGCAACAATTCTCACTTGTTTTCCATCTCTGTGACAGAGGCACGAGGGCACAGATGACAATGAAATTTTGACAGAGGTTCTAACAGTTATGGGCACTCACCAATAGTAAAATGCAGGAGATGAGAAAAGGCAGGTCAGAGCCAGCAACCATGGAAAGTTTTCACTGTTTCCACAACAGATCGCCCCGGGTCTCTAGGGTCCTTGAATGCTTTCCAGATAATTTGTGCTTTCCAGATAATAATGTGCAGGCACCTGGAAGTTCCTGCTATGAGGAGTGTCACTGGGCCCTAGATTGCTTTAAGTAAAAATTCCCTATGTACTACTGACCAGTCAAAAACAAACGATTCCAGTCAAAACAACAGAAGGATGCTGGGCCACCCACATCCAAGAAGACAAAAGCTGTCAGTTTTACTGAGAAGGTGATGGCAGCAGTCTTCAGGGATTCAGAAAGGGGATTGTGATTATTTTGCACAGGGCTAAACCATCAGCAGAGCATACTATGCTAGTCTGTTAACATTTTGACAGAGTTTTAAGAATAAATGTTGAGGAAAGTTGACCAAATAGGTGTTTTTTCCCCAATATAACACTTCAGTGTTCTACCTAGTTAAATGTTCTTCCTTTTGACAACTGGTTGGTTTCCTAATATGAAATTTGGTATATATTACTACAGATTTAGGTGTTATTTATGCTGAGAAAACCTACTATAATGCCATTCACAATCATTTTAGTAGTCTTTGAGTTCTGTTGGAAATAATATGTGCTCTTGTAAGATTATGGTGTAGGAAAGCAGCCACATCCACTCCTCCATAATGAGACCGAGAACTTAAGTGTATCTTGAGTTTCACACTCTCCATTTGTCTTGGTGACTATTGTCGCATGGGGAAATTTTACCGAAGGGTCACCTGTTCTGGTGACTGCTCTCTGAGAGGATTTCCTCTTACTACTGTATGTTTTAGACAGAAAGTGAAAGGAAATCTCCCCAACATAAATCAGACAGCAATAAAGAATTGGCAGGGGTTCTAGCCATCACATCCAAGACTACAACAAACATGTTAGCTGGAGATGTATTTGCAAAGCACTAATCTCCTATATTGCCATCAGTCTCCCCTGCAACTGATCTTTCCTCCCTTACTGACATACCATACTGCAGTTTTTTTTTTTTAAGGTCCATTTTAAGGCTGGTTTTACACCTATGTGCTCTCATTGTAGGGCATTTTAATGATCATTGCAACAAGGCTTAATGCACGTTGGTGTATTTAAACGTCAATGTGCAATATAAAAAACACACTTGTTTTTTTTAGCATCTGTTGATTTCACAGAGCCTACGTTGACCTCCTAAAATATTACCTTCTGTACATCAGTTTTGTATGCTGTCTCATTTGCTTTTGATTTTGACACATCATTGTAAGAACTGTTTTTTGTTTTTGTTTTTCTTGTGGAGTAAAAATACAAGTTTCACTTTTAAATATAGGCAATGAATTTGGGCATCCTGAATGGCTGGATTTCCCAAGAAAAGGAAATAACGAGAGTTACCATTACGCCAGGAGACAGTTTCATTTGGCTGATGATCAAGTTTTACGCTACAGGTTTCTTTATGCTTTTGACCGAGATATGAATAACTTAGAAGAAAAGTGTGGTTGGTTGTCTGCTTCTCCGGTAAGAATTCTGTAAAATGTAATTTGTAAAATATAACTTGGTTATGCATCTGCTTACACCACAGTTTGCTTGTCTTTCGGTTTATTGATTCATTGTTGTATGCAAGGGGTGAGGCACTGGATTTTTTCCCTCCTATTCTCTAAGAGCTTTGTAATCTGAAAATATGAGGCAGGAATCTACTATATGAGGCATGTAAATACTAGTTTAATTGAATTCGACAATAATAGATGAGCTCTTTAGAAAATATACCTGTAGCTTTGAATAACCTCAGGTGGAGAGCAAATTAAATTTACTTGTAGATGCAAGAACAGGAGCTCAGAATAAAGTGATCAGACATTTGAAAACCATTGCACACTCTGATTAAGTAATATTTATTGCAGTAATTCAACTGCAAACAAGCTGGTATAAATGTTGTGATATAATTGTTATTCAAAGGGTTCAACAGTTGTAAAGTAACCTACAAGTGTCCAGAAGAATTGAGAAGTGACACTAATCCTCAGCATGTTGGTTTGTAGCTCCTGGTTGGTTTCTAGAGTGTCTGGGGTTCCTACCGTAGAAACCCGAATCACTCTATTACAGAAACAGCAACCAGCTTCCTCTGTTGCTCGCCCTGGTTCATGCAGTTCCTCGTTCTTCTATTGGTCCATCATTGTAATCTGTGGCCTCACTTACCAGTAGTAAAGTGCAATAGGTAGGAGGGGACAGGCCAGAGCCAACAACAATAAAAGCTGGACACTGTTTTTATAGTAGAGTGACCTATGCCTCAGGGGTCCTTGGGCACTTCACAGGAGATTCAAATGGACGTGCAGGCACCTGGAGATGCATACCGTGTGTAGTGTCACAACACAAATTATAAATATTTGGTCCCCAATGCTGCTGTAAGCACTCACCTTATTTGATGCCTCTTGCTGCGATCTTCTTCCTTCCACTCGTTTCTGACAGTCCCTCCAGTGCTGGTGTCGGTCTCTGATCCACCGCAGACTCCTTGTGTCCCACAGTGTCTGTCTGCCGTGTGTGCTCCTGGCTGCATGACTGCGTCCATTCATTGTGTTTTCTCCCCCCACTGCTGCGCATGCGCCCGCACACTTTGTCCTTCACAGTCGTTCATGAACCGGAGGTTTTTCAGCCGGAAGCGGGAGGCGCTGGCTGGAACAGGTAAGTAATTGGGTATTTGCCTAATTTTATTTTTTTAAATCTACTGCTTGCTAGTAGTAGATATATGCCAAAAAACAAAATACTTTTACTATACTTTAAAGCAAATTTACCCCACAAAAATATTAACAATTGTGCCGTGCTAAAACAGACTCTAGCCCTTACATCACTGCTGGGTCCTGTAGTGACATAGGGATTGGAGGAAGAAACCATAGCATGCACTGAGGTATAAAGACATTAGACAGTCCTAGAAGTGTCAAATGTTGAGGACTTTACCAAGGGCTGCAACACTCTAATTCTATTTATATATATTTATATATTTACATTTTTTATATTATGCACTTTAGTTTTTAGCGCTGCACAATTCACACTTTATTTAACACTCTAAAATACACTCACCACTAGCCACATTTTTAGGTTCTCTCCTTCCAACAATTCCAAATTTATGTATTAGAAGCTGAGCACAGTGCTGGCTACAGAATAAATAATGTATATGCACTAATGTAAAACTTGTAATTATTCAAAACAGCAATAGAGTTCACACAACCCTGTAGATATTCTCTGACACACCACATCTTTGGTTCATTGTACATTGTACCTGCATGGCATTGTTGTATATTCGCAAAGTGCAAAATACACACCAAGTAAGTGGTATGTTTTCAAGTTCACTTAATTTGGCAGTCCCTGCAGCAATATAAATGGCCTAGTACACAAGAAATGCTAGCCCTTTGAACTCTCTATCTGTGGACCATTCACAGGTATTTCATAGGCAAGGAGAATAACTTCACTACAGAAGTGCACTTAACTAGGAGTAGCTTATATATAGGGAATGCAAAATAAATCCACTGATGCAGAGGGGTCAGGTGTCCTTGGAAATAGTTTGTTAAAAATTTGTTTTATTTATCTGGAGAGTTTCTTGTATGTTTACAAGTGGATTGACCTTTCTACCACTGATATATTTATATTTACTCTCCTTTCTGTGAGTTGGATATACCCAGACCAGGCACCAGAGTGAGTACATTTTCCACATGACTGGGTTGCACTTTCACAGTGAAGTGGTACCTCTTATTGTGAACCCTTAATCATAAAAATTTGCCTTTGCAGACTTGTAGTAAGGAAAATGTAGTAATAAACCTCTTTTCAGGATTCATAAAGCTTGTGTGTATTACATAGGCAGGGCTTTAGCTATGTTTGTTAACATACATTTTTGTTGAGACCTATTGGCCTATGATACCGGAAGCCTTGGCAAACATGCTAATGTGAGGAGACAGGGCCAGTGACCTGCTGGTTGATGAGAAAAAGTTCCACTGCATCACTTGGCCCATCTGCCCCTTGACATGCTAGGGGCTGCGAGTACTGAGGAGGACAAAGTTCTATATGGTTGCCAGAGGCTCTCAGCATGACATGCCAGTGGATCCCAAATAAGGCTATAATCTAAAGCAAGTATATAACTGTGTCCCTGCTATTTAACACATGAGAGTTGTATAACCCTTTTAAGGGATGCAGTTTTTCCTTTATAGGTGCAAGCTTCAGGTGTTAACTTAATCCTACCTTTACTACCTATGTGCGTCAGCAGCTACGTGTATTCCACTGAACTCTCATCCTGCCCACGTTCCATTGGGAAATAAATTGTATGACCAATCCTGTTGTTTTATTTGCCAGTAATATTCTGCTTATTGCTAAACTGTTTTGCAATTTCTGCTTTTTTAGGCCTTCATCAGTACAAAGCATGAAGGTGATAAGATCATTGCATTTGAACGGGGAAATCTCCTTTTCGTCTTTAATTTCCATCCTTACAAAAGCTTCACTGGATACAGATTGGCTGTAAATGCACCTGGAAAATATCCTTACATAAGTATTGTCTCGCATGGTAGCACATAATCTCAAGGAAATTGAGCTTTTATTAGTAAATCGAGCTTAATGGCTAATTCATTTCCACTTGTACAAGTCAAGCTTTATTCGTTGTTGCAGGCCTAAATCTTATGGAATGTTATATTTTCTCCCAAAGAAGAGATCCAAAAACAAAGCTTCAGTGAAGATAAATAACTGTTTTTCTTTATTTGTTTAACTCTGTACCTTTTTTTAAATATAATTATGCCTTAAAATGTTGTTTTTAAAGTGAAAGCGTACACCCCAGAAAGCACCCATGCCACGTGTTTATACAGTATACTTAAAATAATGTATCTTGTTTTCTCCCTTGTAATCTGATATAGGCACAAAAAATACCTGTTGATCCTGTCAGAAGACACTGCTATACTGTATGCTCTGCAGTCTTATCAGCCCTGCACCTCAGTGAACTACAGAGTAACTCTCAGGATGGGGGGGGGGGGTTCTGTAGTCTTAAAACACTTCCTGTCCTAGAGTGACAATCCTGCTTCTCAACAGATGCACTACACTGAGCGCTAGGACAAGACGTGTTTTGCTGGCAGGATCACCTGGTGACAATAAAATAAAGGGAAAAATAATGCGCCCACCACATCTTAGGACCGGTAAGCTGCAATATATAAAATGTTTGCTCTTTGGTTTGAATACACTTTTATTTAGGTATATATATTGTTTTTATGTTATATCAGGTTATCATTTGCTTTCCTTATACAATGCTTCAAAGGCATATTCCACCTTTAAAAAAAAAAAATTGCACATGAATTCATAAAATAAATATGTGCATTGATCATTATTTGATTTCGAAACATTGTCTGTGTATGTGATATCATGTCTCTCTTAGCTTTGGATAGAATAAAGAAGGGACGATAAAGTGGACCTTCGGTGTGCTAGTGACTAATTTCTTGTTACTTTGGACTACCCTGTGCCATTTACAGGTTATTTCAGCACCCATCATAAGACTTTGATTGGGATTCCAGTCCGGAGTGCAAGGAGACATCTGCTGCCTTGTAATTTCTCCAGTCACAGATCCTGTCAAAAGATCTGTGAATGAATGATGCGGCTGTGCGATTATCTAGTATGAATACCTTTTTTTTTTTTCGTACTCGCCGATACCGAATACTGATACCGGAAGTCTCAATAAGAAAGTTAGGCGCTGTGTAATGACTCACCACCTGGCTTCCCAATCAGCAGGGAAGCCGTCTCCATGCTCTCTCGTCACCAGGTGACGAGGAAGCATGGAGCCAGCTTTCTGGCCAATCAGGAAGCCGGGCGCCGTGTAATGACATGCTGCTCAGCTTCCTGATTGATTGAAAGAATAATATGGGTAGAAAATGTGAACAATTTATGAAAATGATTTTCCTGTCACTTTACTACAATTCTTGAGGCATGGCATAACTGTGAAAGAAGTGTATACCTACTTGGCCTTCCTGCTGCCCATCCTGCTGAACTCCCATTTTGAGATATCATTCCCCGAAACCTCTACTTCTGGGAGTGTGGATCTCCTGGTCCCTCAGAAAGCTAATGGCTTTCTTCTGCTTACACACACACAATATGTCATTACAGGAGAAAGTAGTGACGTGGAGGTGAGCAGGAGGAACCAGATAGAGCTGTAGGTGACCAGGAGATCAACCAAGCCGACTTTGGGGCCATTTTTTACTGAATAGATCAGAGATCGGCGGTATAGGTGGCATGAGAGGTAAAATTGTACGTCCTTCTTTCTCAGGTGTGTCTGAAGCACATCAATATAGTCATAGGGTCTCTTTAATATCAATACTGTATTTGTATGAGCAACTTCATCCACAAAGATGCTCATACTATGCAGCCTACAGTAGCTTTCAGGAGCTTGACTTGCTGACATAGTTATACAGGTGTATATATATATTACTCAAATGGTGCAGACTTGATTCTTAACAAGGTTGCAATGAACAAAAAAAAGACAAATTGATCCTGCTGGCTAATTACCTTATAAATCTAAAATAAATGGGCTGCTGGTACTGAATCTTAAGTTGTTGGATCTTCGGTCTTTCACCTTATGCAAGTGATAATTTTTACACTCGTTTATTTTCAATTTGGGAATGTCTGTTGAGTTTCAGACGTTGTCAGTTAGCCAGCCTGTGTTATATTATATGGTATTTTAATGCAAATTCAAAGTATTTTCATGAATTTTAAAAGACGCTAAATGAATGCATGGACGGAACACTAAATATCTGTCTAAGTGTCCGGAACTTTAAACATGTTCAGATGTCACTGCTGCATGTATATTTAAAATGTAAATGCCAAATTCTTTGAAATTTTTCAACTTGAGCCTCGATCTTTTAATGAGCAAATAAGGTCATTTAGAATGAGTCACTCATTTGTGATTCCTGGGAGCGTGGATGTTGCTTTGTCGTTTAACCACAGGTCTCATTTAAAGTATATTCATAGACCTGATGAAAGCCAATATATGCTCTATCTGTAGAGAAATCCTAATTTGTATCTCACTTCAAATTGTCTTTTTTTTTTTCCTTGGTAATATGAATGTTTTTTTTTATTTTCCACTAAAGATTTGTTGATCTAGCATAAGCTTATTAAAGATACCTAAAGGAGTTTTTCAATTTAAGCAATGCAGAAGGCGCATTCAGAGCAATACATTTCTAAGACAGGCACTCTAAGTCGTTGAAAAGGTCAAACAGCTTCAAGCAGCCCCTTAGCTGTCCTTGCACTGCCACAAGTTAACTGTTTTGTTGAGACTAGTGTAGGGTAAACCTTCCTGTTTAGTATCTGGTTTCCAGTGGAAGGGTTTTCAAGTTTTTGGTGAAAATATGCAAATGCTGTAGCACACGTGTACACACTTACAGAAGGTTGTACTGGTTTGTTATCTACGCTTGCAACCTAACTAACTAATCAGAATCAGAACAAAACTGAAATTTGTTTAATTAGTCGGTCTACTTGATATTGTAGAAGTCTTATTTTCTTTGAATAGGCCTTAATATGAGAAAAACTAATTCATCAGTAAGTAAAATATAAGGATTGGAAACTGAGTTAAAGTGTATAAATTGTTAAAACTTTTTTTTTTTTTTTTTATAGAGAAATGTTTCAATTATTTTTTGTTGTCTTTGTCCCATTGGGGAGATTTCCCCTTCACGTCCTGCCTTGGAGATGGAACAGGATTTTGGGGAAAACACACCACATACTGTTCATTTTTGGATTTCACATCCTTTCCTGTCTTGGCGACAATCGTCACCAGGAGGAATAGATAGCCTCATAGGGGTTGTAATGCTTCCCCACTCACATTCAGAATTAGAAAAAGAGTTTTGGATATACAGTACATACACTTTAAAGTATATGGCAACGCAAGAGGACTCAGTAAGAAAGAGGTAGTGGATATGGATAGCACTATGCATGTATGCAATGTACATGCTATTTTTTTTTTTTTTTTGCAAAAAAATAAATGTTCTTATTTTTAAGCACCTACATGACTGTGTGCCTTCCTCTTTATCACCATTTAGTCTTGCCTCACTTTCTGTTTTGTTGATAATAGCCACCTGGCACAGAACATAGAAAGGGAAATTTACCTAGCGGGGACACGGGCAGCAATAAACTCTTAATAGAGGGCCTAATCCCCATTATACCCAAAACGAAAACAACATTTTAAGCTTTTGGTCATTGCTGATGTAAAAATCTGAAGTTCTCATATACAGCTACCTTTTGGGTAATCTGAGCCTTAAGTGATTTTGTACTTACCCTAAAATCTCTTTCTTGGAGATCATGAAGGGATGTAGGTCCCACCATGTTGGCTGGCCAACATTTTTTTTCTGTTTGCCAGTGTCCACCAGCTTCCTGTAAGCAGCTGTATGTAACCTGCTATTGAGTTGATTTTATTTGGATTTTGTTTGGAAACCTTAAAATGAGCTAACTCACTATTTGATATCCAGCTGACTAGCTGCAGTGCCAGCTTTTTAAATGAGGTCAACCTAGCTCAATTTGCAAAAACATATTTTCCTGTCAGCTGGCAGATTGATTTCAGTTTTTTGTTATTTTTTATTTTTTTTAAATGTCCTACCTAAGAATAGACACTTTAGTTACCTGCTTTACTAGCCAGAAAATCCTCTTCTGTGTGCCTCTCTAAATTAGTTCCACATTGTTACTAGAGACTTGACTTCATAGCTAAGCCACACCAGCTTCTAAACCCCTGTCTAATGAGAGTGTCCTTACTGGTCCTTATTGGAGTTGGAGATGGCAGGTGTTGGGACATGAAATCAGATATGCTGCTCTTAAAGAGTCACATAGAAAAGGATTTCAGGGCTAGCAATAGTAATAGGAGTCTTGTGGCATCTGTCCTCTTTTACTTTGAACCTGTCAGGCATTTTAAATATCTAAATCTTTGTGGTGCTAACCCAGCCACCTGGCTGCCTTGCCTTCTTATATGGTAGATAGTTATGTCCGCAATAGTTGTTGAATAGTATAGGACCCACCCCTACAATAGCACTACCTGCATTACATAACATCTGAGGAGCACAACACAGTTGAGGTCTGGTTTTATTTTAAGGTGATTTCGTTTCTGCCCAAAGACCAACCCCTACCCTTCATGCTATCTGTAATACTGGAACCTCCTGTACATAAGGCTGTGACTTGTCTGCATGATTTTCTTTGGAATTTGAACAGTGTTCACAGGAATCTGTAGGGACAAGATTTACCAGTGATTTGAAATTAATAATATTTTTTTAATTAAATATTAAAATGCAAAGACATAAATGGAGGTTCTACCATTGTTTTTGCTGTGGGCATCAAGTATAGCTTTCATGTATTTATTATATAATGATGGATCTGATTATACACGATAGAAGTGTGCTTATTAAATACTTCTTCTATATGATAAGAGTCCCTTTTTTAGCTACTTGATATAATTTCCCAAGCAAGGTCATTCTATTACAGCAGAATTGAGCGATGATACACCACTTTGCATTACATTGCAGACTCAGTTAGCATGGAGGTAAATTGCATTTTAACTATGCCAGTTAATAACCTACATAAACTTTAAACTATTCTGGATATTCTATGGTTTTCATTTAATTGAGTTAAAAAGCAAATTGATCTGTTTAGTGTAATTTGCATTCCGTTATTGTGAAGCTTTATGTTTCATTATGCTTTCATGATGTACAATAGATCATTTTGTTTGGGCATTTATATTCCTGATCTCTGTATAGGCAAAGTAGTTTAATAAGTAATTAACCTTATAGATAACGCAGTGCTCACTATTTTACTGTTGTTGCTGGAGACTAGTCATTTTATTCCTGCTTTACAGTACAATGGACAGAATAAAGTTAACCATAAACCTAATGAAACTGTAATCCTCTATTGTCAAGGAAATGTTTTTGTTTTATTACAAACGAAGCAATTTCAAAACCTGCAGCAAATACATGTTGTCTAATTAACAGTGATTTCCAGAAATTGCTGCTATAATTTGGGAGTATTATTTGAAACTAAACTCCATAAAAGACCACTTGTATTTCAGTACAGCAGTTACACATAGAAAAGGGTTTGGGCAAAAACATAACGTGATAATACGTTATAAACGTAATAAGTAACGTGATTGGTTCAGTATGTGGATAGGTGCTTATTTAAAGCATATTGTTATACAGGATTTCATGTATTATACAGGATTTATATGGTGCCAACAGCGCTTTATAAAAGTATCTAAACCAAAGAACACAAATTATATACATATACGTTGCAGCTTACAAGTACCTAGATGTGGTGGTGGTGGTGGTGATCGTTTTCTAATAGGATTTTGTTCTTTTATTTCACCTGGAGATACTGCCAGTTACACACTTCCTGTGCTATGGTGACCGATCTGTATCTGTGGAGGAGTAGCGTTTTCATCCGAGGACAGGACTATAAACACATTCCCATCTCCATTGTCCATAAAATGGGGGGATATATTATTTAGTTGACATAGAGTGCTCAGAACAACTTATAGGAGTGTAGCGCAGCTTATACGTTTTCTGGCATATTTTTCTGTACTTATTGAATATTGCATGCAGAGACTATCTACAGGGCTGCCCATGCATTTTAAATATGATTCCAAACAGGCAGGTACTTCTGTTTTTATTGTAAAAGACATAACATGCCTCTTCTGCTATTGAGAGTCTGTCTGATTGATTGATTATATATATATATATATATATATTCAATATCAAAACACTTTCAATGGTTTATTTATCAAACCAAAAGAAAGCAGATGGAAGTTCATTGTTAAGGTTTTACATACATAAGTTTAGTCTATAAAGAAATCCCTTCAAGGTTAGTTGTATATATTGCATAGATCTTGGCACATGTTGTTGTAGAATTATGTCTGTCTTTGTTCTGAAGAAATTGGCATATACTTTTATTATCCCTACCTGAACTGTCTTGCATCCAATTTATAAGGAAATCACTAAAAGGATTTGTTTTCTCTCTTAGTTCAACTAAGTGTCTTACCATACTACCTGCTGGGGTTTTTTTTCTTTTGATTATTAATCTGTGAAAAGGAAATCCTCAGAAATGCTCTTTATAATTTGTGGTCGTAATTTGCATTTATTGAAAAATCGGAGGTAAAAATAGTTTCACTCCCCTGTGTCCTCAAAGAGGCAGTATTGCTTTGATTACTTGCTTTTCCCTAGCTTTTTTTTTATTTTTTTATAAAGTATATCTAAAGCTAAAACTTTTTATAGTTTTGGATAGTGTAAGGAAGATAAAATCCCTATCATTATTTTTATGCCTTGCATCCTATTGGGGACGGTTCCTTCACTTCTTGTCCTGTGGACATGTTAGGAACTTCAAGGAAATCTCTCTAATGTGAAGGAAATGTCCTGAGTACCAGAACAAACATAGAGGGGGGATCTTCCTTGTGAGAACCAGGACAGTAATAAAAACCTGACAAAATTGCTAGACCTTATCTCTCTAGGGAAAATGCGAAAAAAGTGAGGATAATATCAGTTAAAATAAAGATCAGCTGGAAACGTAGCTACATAAAATGTGCACTTAATTTCTTGATCAGCTGTACATTTAAAGCTGAACTCCATAAACTACCCTTCACTACATATTTGACACTGTTTTTTTGTGTTTCTCCGATAGCCTTTTTATATTAAGGCCAAGATGGGGCTTCATTTACAGATACAAGCTTGTGGAGAAACTGACTCCAATGGCAGTTTGATATCTATTGGGCTAACAGGTGGCAGAATGGAAACTGCAACTATATATGTGTGTGTGTGTGTGTAAAATTGTCAAGTAATAACATCTTTATTGTATTTTGTTTTTGTGGTTTGGGGGTTTTGAATTTAAATTACTTTTTACAATGTTCCTTAACAGTCTGGTTTAAATATATGATTGCACTGGATACTGATGCTTCAGAGTATGGAGGTCATCAAAGAATTAATCACAAGACAGAGTTCTTTTCTGAAAATATCCCTTACAACAATCGTTCAAATTCACTTTTGGTAAGTATTACATTTCTATTAAATGGAATGTTAATAAATATTCCAATCAACACAGTTTTATTATTAAGAATCAAGTCCCCTCCAAGTTAACCGTATGCAATCATAAGCATGAGGTAGCAATCACAATGGTTATGAGGTTTAACCCTTTCGCTGTTTTGTAAATGCCAGGTCCGTATGGCATACTGACCTGGCCAGCTGGAAGCACTTTTGTAGGTCCGTATGCCATACGTCCTTGGCAGCGAAAGGGTTAATTCTCTGCTGTTGTATAGCGGTTAGGCAGAATAATCAGTTATGATTGTATTTTCTCCCCTGAAAATGTGGTAAAATTGTGGAGGACCAAACTTTCATACGCAATACAACAGCATAATTTTTTTATGATTTTTAAATACTTCCAGTTCCATGTTTTGATTATTGTACTAAATATAGACATTTCTATATTACTCATTAAAGGCAGGGTAGATTAGCAACAGCAAATGTGCTGGCCATATGCAGAGCGAGTTTCAGACAGTTCTTGATTAAACTTGCACACACTTCACAGTTGGAATGCAATAGCATGGCAGGGGCGTTCCCCTATCCACACTAGGACTTTTTTCCCATTCAGCTCCGCCCTTTACACAGGGCCTTTCTGCTTAGTTGCTGTTGGGATAAGAAATCTGCTTCAATGTGAGCAAATTGTTTTCAGAGAGTCAGCTTACGCACAGAATTGCATTAGGAATAGGACCTGTAAAGCACAACACTGCAAGACAAGAAACAGACCATATACTTGTAAGGAGTGAATATGGCTGCCCCCACGTACATATAGACCATGCTGTATATTAAATTTAAGGAGGCTATTTACATCTTTATGATTTGAAATAAGACCAATCCAAGATGTTGCTTCCTTTCCCCATATGGAATTTAATGGTCCACAAAATTTTTTGACACCCACAGGTTCAAATGATTCCACGCTCCAAGCAGAAAGCAGAAAAGAAACTGCATACCACTAAAATACCATTTGACTGGTTTTGTGGCTGGATTTGATCATATTCAACTTTCCATGTATACAGTTTCCATGTTTTTGTCCCCAAAACCCAAGAAGCAGTCAGACCCATAAATGGAAGATTGCTCTGGGCAGTTAGTTTCATGTGATTTTTTTTAAAGTGAAAGCTTCAAAAATAGATATAGAATTTCGGCATGCATTAGAACTTATAACTTATAAGGTTATGGACTGACTCCTACTTAGCATATTTGCTAAGTGGGATATTCAATAATGACTGTATTTGGGGTTTTTTTTGTGTTCTTCAAATGTTGAAAACCAAAAACATCCACCAATGGGCATTGTAGAAAAAATTATTTCTTTCTCGGAGGGCCAACTTACACCATCCAGTGCGTTTATCTGAAGGATTCAGCGGGAGGGGGTGTGGTGGTGCCATTCATTTCAATGGCGCTGCAGACACGCCTCCCTCCCACACTGCATGCACATTTTTTTGCAATCGCACCGCACTGGACCGCAAGGGCATTGCAGTACCACGCGTTCCAGTATGGGCAGTCGCACTGCTTGCCCCAGAACGCGGGGAGGGTTTGATTAAGCAGTCCAGTGCATTCATGTCACAGAACTGAGATGAATGCACTGGATTGTGTGAACGTGCCCTGACAGTAGAAACCTTCTTTAGGAAAATGACATTTAAGTAGTACTAAACTTTTTTTCAGTGATGAATTCAGATCAAACAAATATACATTGCCATCAAAGTATTTGTTTACATTTCCTCCCAAGCACTCAGTCATCATGTTTCTAAACAGCTGTCTCCAACTCAGCTCCAACTTCCCTGAACTTCCTGTCCAGTACAAGATCACAGAGCAATCTCCAAAATGTATGTATCTACTATCCTGGAGGAGAGTAGAAGATGGAGTGGGGAGGCTTGCCCTGCTGTGCCTGTGTGTATGTGGAGACACACACAGCTTACTAGCACACGCAAAGGGGGCTCCAAGGGAAAGGAGCCACCCTAAAACAGGATATCAGGACAGGGTTCAGTAAACCAGATGATTCTGCAGGAAACTAAAAATTTTAAACATCAAGCATCCATTGTTAGTGATGTCATCAGCATTTGAAATAGCTTAAAAGCCTTTTAAATGTAATATCACTTTAACCCCAGAACACTATGTAATGTGTACAAAATATTGCCATACACTATTTTTATACTAGTAGCTAAAGTCTAGACCCCTTTTTTTATTGTCTTTCAACTGAAAGGCTTGTTATGATTCTGTTTTGTAGTGTATAACAAAATGTAAGTAATCTACCATGTCATTGTGCCAAACTCATTTGTTGCTCTGAAACATATTTTCTTTTCAGCTGTGAATTATTATAGAGATGCGAAAACACCACACCTTCCAGTCCTCTCGCTGCAAACACAGCTTAATATTTCTGATTTTACAGCTTTCCGAGATGACTTGGTGCACTCTAGTGGTTAATATTTACCACTTCACTTAATGCTTCACAAGCTCCAGTTTTCTGACTTGCACTCATTTAAAAAATAGGGATTTTCTAATATTCTCATAATTCGCCTTCTGCTAACATTTTACTTTTCTTTCTGGATTGTTTTCTTCTATTCCAGGTCTACATTCCATGCAGAGTGGCTCTTGTTCTTCAAAGCGTGGAGAATTACTGAGCAGCACAGTAGCATGTTTATCTAAACAATGTAAGCGTAAGGTGTTTAGAAGTAGAAACATTCACACAATGCCGAGTGTCATAGAATGTGCTTGGGGTTATTCACAGAACTCTAATGGATAGAAATTGCAGGCTGAATTATCCTACACTACAAGAGATGGCAAACATTTCAAGAGGAGAGTGTTTTTTGAAAATATTTTACAAAACAGAACGCAGAAGTGTTATTTTGTGCTGTTTGCTTGCAAAATGTAAACTTAAAGGCTCTATGGGGATCAATTGCAGGTTATACAACAGTGACCAAACTGTTCTGAAAATTGCTTTTTAAAAAAAAAAAACAGATTTGAAAATTAGATCTGCTGAAATCAGTGGTTATAAACAGTTAAAGAACACAGATTACTTTTTAAAATGTAAACTGTCTAGACAACAAAACAAAAAAGCACTTTTAGGATAACAACCCTGTCTGTGATAAAACACTTTTGCATCTGAATGCTTGTAGCCAGTCAGTTATATTTGAAATAATTCAAACATTTTGAACTTGTTTGTGGCCATTCCTTTTCCTCCAGCATGTCATATCTGAGCAGGTCTAAACCAGGGGTGGGAATAAAGCTCTGCTGTTATTATGCAATGGGGTATTTTCCTTCTTTGGTGTATTCAAATTGTATGCAAACTATACGGTCAACCATATATATTTCCCAAAGTGATATTGCTCCAGACGGACCTACGGCTTTCTGTTGCTGGCCGCAGGTACTGCTGCACGGTATGCTGCTTCATATATCTGACCTTATTTGGGAAGCATATGGATTCTGCTCAACCTAAGCAACCACAGCCATTAGCAGGAAGCTGTAGGTTCACCGGGAGCTATACCACTTTGGAAAAATACGGTTGGAGGCAAGGTTTAGCAGTGTGCAGCTACTTTGTGTATCTAACTATCCTGCCAACCAGCCTTTTGTTGCAAGAAAATTAGGAGCAAAATATCACTTAAAAGCTCCTCTAGTCTATTGAAATGTAAATGAGCTGCCTAACTGCAAGCTTTCCAAAGTACCCTTTGTCCAGAAAAGCCTTTCTAGTTGCCTGGCAGAGACTGTTTCACTTTGCTATGGAGACTTACATTCAATGAGTTGGGTCCTAATTCCACTCTTTCCCCTTATGCTAAGCCAAACCCACAAGTTGACCCCCATCTAATCAAGCTTCCCTTTTCAGCCCCATTGGATATATGTCAAGCAAGTGAATGGGGTTTTATTGCAGGGGGAGGGAATAGCTCCAATGTGGGGAATTGGTCTCCCTAACAAAGTGAAAGCTTTCGCAGCTGGAGCACCGAAGAGGCTTTTCTTGACATGGGAGATGTCAGCTTTTAGACAACACATTCACAGTTTCACTTTGAGAACCCTATATACCAATACTGCTGTTCAGAACTGAACGCTTTCTGAACTTTGGACAGTCATTAAGGCTTTCTCTTGCGAATGCATGACTTTTCACAGGATAAAAATACTGGCCAGATCTATGAAGTTAGGACTCTACAATGTCTATATATAAGTTATATACCTGTACTAACAAATGTGGTTGTTAATATGCACATTACTTGATTGTCTGCCCTCTCCATGACATCATGCAGACTAATAAGACAACGTATCCAGAGTCATCTCATGGAAAGCTCCCATTGCATAATTGGGTATTTTTGTCCCTGCCTCAACTATAACAAGCTGAAAAGGGAAGGATTGTCTATCCACAAGAACATCGACAACAATAATATGCACATGGATTTGGCAATTTGAGTTATAGGGGTTGATTTACCCAAGGAGTAAAGCATGCTCAGGCTGCAAGTGCAAGTGAATTTTAAAAGGAAATTTGCACTTAGCTTAGTAAATGTTCACATTTGGCACAGCTTCCTCACATTCACTGAGCTAAGTAACAATTTCCCTGCAAAGTGATCATGCACTGCTACTTTAGTAAATCGCTCCATAGTGTTAACATAAAAAGCAACAGTCCGTTGACAGTGTTTGGATTTTTTTTTTTTTATGACTGATTTAACCTTAGACTTCATTAGTATGTTTCAGTGCTGTTTGATAACATTTGTGGCTTGGACCCCAATCAGTGTTGTGCAACGTATGGGGTTTGTACAAATCTACATAGCTAAATATGCCTCACAGCAAGTATGCGGTGTTCAGGGATCTTGCAATGGCTTATACTTATCATTACTGTTCATTGTACTTATTTTGTTGTTTTCTAGAGCCATGTGGTTTATTTAAATCCACCCTGCCATTAAACAGCATATTCATTCATCTTCATTTTCTCGTAGCAGGCAGTGTCTTCTTGGGTTTTTATTTGCCTTTAGAGGATCATTATATCTAAACTAATTAAGTTCCCTACCCTAGTCTATGTAAGGTTTTATCAACCTTTACTGAAAATGGGTAAAATTTACATTAGGATCAGAACAAACAATATTTACAAACCAAAATTGGGATAAGAATTTTCTACCACACAGCTGACTGCTGTATATCTAAATAAATCCCCTACCCTGGTTTATATAAGGTTTTATCATCCTTAACTGAAAAAAAGGTAAAATTGACAGGAGATCAAAACAAACAATATTTTAAAAAAACTAATTGGGAAGCAGAATATTTCTACCGCACAGCTGACTTCCTTTGTTGTAGTCTCATAGAAGAAAGCTATGAACTGTAATTTTGTGGCTGACACAAAATTATGTGGGCTGTTGTACGAATGTCAGATATCTCAACTTCTGTACAGGTGTGAGAACTTTACACTGATTACATTTGCAAGTACTGGTAGCAGTTTTCACACAATGCATGTCATGTATTGAATCGGCTTTTGTGCCCCCCAAGGCCAAGGAGAAAACTTGTAACTTCTGAACATCTCTACTCTGCCTCCCCCAAGGTCTTGCCTGTCCATTGTGCCATGTAATCGGCTTTCTGAACAAAGAACCCCAGGTTCTAAAATGCTTATACAAAATCGGCAAGAGAGAAAACATGGAGCGCTGCTTAAATATTAGAAGAAACATTTCCCCCCCATATTATAATCTGATTGTACAGTATTCTTTATATCTAATTGGAATTGACTGTTGAAGAAGAAACCAGGTATGCAAAATTTTAACCCTTGCATTGGGGCTATCTATGCACTGCAAGGGTTAACCGCTCGTTTTGGTCTAGGGGCTAAAATAAAAGAAATATACTCACCTGATCCTCGAGAAAGAAATATACCCACCCTGATCAGACCTGAGGAAGTCAAGGGTTGTACGACAGCCGGAGCGGAAGGGGAGAGAGGTGAACACTCACCACTGCAGGATCGAGGATCAGGTGAGCATATCTTCTTCATTCCAGCTCCTAGAGAAGAATCCTTGCAGTGTGGGGGTAGCTGCACCGTAATGGTTAACATTATGCATCCCTGGAGTGCTTCTTTAAAGTAGGCTGCTGTACTACACAGTTGTAAATCTAAAGGAGATTGTTCGAGATTGTACAATTTAATTCTAACATATTTGACCAGATGATCTTGGAACTATTTAATTTAATTTTTGTTATTTTCTTTTGCAACATTCTTAGAATGTGTTTTTTAATTGAACTCTAATATGTTTGCTCTTTTCTCTGCTGTGCTGATGTATTTATTTATAAATATTCTACTTATTTTCTCATTTAAGTTTCCACCTCCTTTAGCTTTATTATTTGACAAATATCTGTTTACAATAATCGTTTTTGTGGAGTTTTCTCATAGTTATTTTTTTCCTACAACATATCAAATTAATACCTCTACTAGAATGAAAAGCAATAAGGTGCATTAGGTACAGCGGTCCATAATGAGAGAATAATTCTAACTTGTATGTGACATGCACTGCGTATTTTTCAAAGCCTTCGTATGCATGCTCTTTAGCGGTTTCAGTGCTGTGTTACTGCAGTGTTAGCTAATACAAAAGCAATGTAGTTCTTATAATGTTGTGGAGACACTTTGTGCAAATAAATTATCCGTCACTTTATTTTGTGAAAATAAATTAGGGGTTCTAGTAAATTTCTCCTGAATATTAATACAGAGTAACCAATTGTTTTTTAAATATGTATCTATATGTATTAATCACCATTATGACATCACATGCAATAGATAAAATTATAAGTTGATTTGTCCTGCTGAAAAAAATCTGTCCTCTCTTATACTAGAAACATTATAATGATTTCCAGTGATTGCTTATAATATGGAAAGATGTATAATGTTACGGTTGTGGTGGTTTCCATCTAAAGAGTGTAAGGTTCCATTCATAGATTTTAAGATAACCCTCTTTATAGGGGTTCTTGGATATTTTCAAGGACACACAGGCTAGCCATTATACAAGGGGGCCATTGTTACCTTAATGTGTGCATATCCTTAAAGGAGAACTTTGAGGTGAGTGATTTTCACTCATCCTCATAGTTCGAGCCGACATGTGACAATGAAACTGTCACACGTCAACTCAATAGATCAGGAAGTGAGCGAACACATACCGTCGCTCGCTCACTTCCCGATCATCTCCCTGCAGAGAGCAGTGACTGTCACTCACGGCTCCCAGCATGGATTCCCTGCTCCAATCCTCCAGCGCTGACTGGAGGAACCGACGGGGAGGTATGGGTACAGCTGGCTCTGCCTCTAGATAGGCAGAGCCAGCTGTCACGCAGCTGGGTGGATCTCGACAGCATTGTCAGGATCCGTCCCGACTGCGGCGGTCTCAGTATACCGCGAGCTGTAGCTCATGATATACTGAGCTTTGGGGTCACAGGAGGATGCTAGTATATGTCCTCCTGTGACCCTTAAGAGAACTATGGGGAAAAAAACTTACCCCATAGTTCTCTTTTAAATGTAGCTAGAGATATCTATATGTAATAACAGAGAAAGATTCCCATCTCCCACAAGCCCTTCTTCTCATTGAAAATACTGTTGCCTTTAATGTAAAGCTGTAATAATCTGTGATATGTCTAAAAATAATAATGCAAGTCACAAGCTGGTCTAATTCTGTGTTAAATGTTCATTATAGATTACCTGTTAACGCTTTTCACACAGTGTTATATTGTAGTTGGCAGAAAGTAATATTTTTTTCAAAAGTAATTTGTAATCTTTTCATTATGTGCAAAAAATAGGGTAAAAATATACTTACTTTCAAACTGAAGTGCCGTTTTCTTGTATTCAAATAAATGCAACAAGTGGAAACTCTGTATGTGTGTCTTGATTTTGTGTAATTTTTTTGTGTGTTGGGGGTTTAACATCGTTCACAGGACAAAGTACAGTATAATTTGCACTATTGTTATCCTCCCCTATG